CTAAGAGCGATGGCCTCCACCCTAAGAGCGATGGCCTCCACCCTAAGAGCGACGATGGCCTCCACCCTGAGAGCGATGGCCTCCAACGCTAAGAGCGATGGCCTCCACCCTAAGAACGATGGCCTCCAACGCTAAGAGCGATGGCCTCCAAGGCTAAGAGCGATGGCCTCCAACGCTAAGAGCGATGGCCTCCAACGCTAAGAGCGATGGCCTCCACGCTAAGAGCGATGGCCTCCAACCTAAGCGTGAAGGCCTCCGACCTAAGAGCGATGGCCTCCAAACTGTCCCTTTGGCACAACGTATCCAGTCTGGCGATAGTGCCGACTGGAGGGCTTTCGACTGCCAGTGCTTTACTTATTCTGCGCCCTGCGCAATGACCTGGGCTGTCTGTCAACCTTTGCTCATCAGCGCCTCACATATGCAGTAGAAATTTGCGACTTCACTTGGCGCATGTTTGTTCCTGTATTTTGGCCGCATGTTGTCGCGCTCATCCTCCACAGCCACCGTCACCTCATCTCTGATGTCCTTCCTGTTCTAGGCTGTTCCGGGATGTGTGGATCCCACTCATCGAAGATGTTCACAGGCATCTCTCGAAGAGATGTCTCTTTGCTCAAAGTCTTTGTCAGAAGCGGCACGTCCAAACAGATGTCCTCAAGTCCGAGTCTGAAGATGTTCACAGTTCACAAGCAAACTCTCTCGAACCATGCGTGTGGTTGTGATTGGTTGTGATTGGTTTTGTGTGGTTTCCCGGGTGCTCACCTGGGCAAAGAGTGAATCACTTGTTTCGACCCTACGCTATGCAGGAGCCCGTTGCAATGGACTGCGCCTCCCAGCTTCGTGCAGCGCTGGAGGATGTCGCCGGAGCCACGTGGTGTCCGGCGCTGCACTTCACCAAGCTGGAAGAGGCCAAAGAAGCGCTGCAGTGGATCGTGGATGTGCCGTTGCGCTGCCGCACGGTGAACGTGAACAACCAGCTAGGAGAGGTACAGATGAAACGATGATATTAGGTTCACGGTTTCTGAAGGTTAACATCAAAGGGTGGGAAAGGAGTATTTAGAGGCCCAGGTGAAACCAACCTTGATACCAAAACATGCCAAGATAGGTGAGGACTCAGTGATGACAGGTTTTTCAGCAAGGTGAAGTGGTCGTTTTCAATCTTTCTTTGTTGCAGAGGTTGCTTTGGCCTTAGATGTGCTTTCAAGACTCCCAGCGCACTTGACACACAAGCTGCGCTCTTTACAGCAAGCGGTTGTTCGGTTGTTGATCTTGATTTTTTGTCCGACCGAAAAAGATTCAGGTTGGCCTTCATCTCGTTGGGCGATGGTTTGTCCTTGGCACAAGGTGTCCACACATGGCTCAACGACCCGATGAGTGGCGTGGTCTCTCGACGAGCTGAGACCTGGTGCAGCTTCGAGGTGGAAGAGTTCTCGAAGAGAAACCTCAAAGACATGGCCAATGAGGCGCAAAAGGGACATTGTTTCTAAGACACATAATGTGCGTTCAAATTGTTTTCTATTTTTCTAAAGCGTGCGAGAAAGCGATGGAAGGGGTGCAGGACAAAGAGCTTTTGTGCTATTTTGATCAAATGGTGAATCCGGGTGTAACAAGGAGGCAGGTGCCTGTGACGACGGTACGGAGTACATGGCACGGCTTTTGCTCACCGGCCGTCTGAAACGGTTTCCTTCGATCGGCTCCCAGCTCGCAAGCTGATCCCGCTACCGCAGATTCTCAGGCTGCAAACACTTGTTTGAGCATAGGCCCCAGATAGCGAAACTATGCACTGGGCAGCGGCACCCTGCAGCTGCACCAGCGCCCAGGCTCCAAAACACATACGGCCATAGACATCTGGCAGCGTCACTTTGGAGCCAAGAATTCCAAGAGAACTTGGTGGTCCAGGAGAAACACCCAGACGGAAGAGGACTGTGCTATCACTTCAGGTCCAGCTGGAACTGTGAACTGTGAAAAAAGAGATAGCGAAGATCCCAAAAGGTGAAAGAGCGCGCCCTGCTGGACACACATGACGCAGTGGGACACGCAGTGGGACCTTGGATCTGAGATCTACAGCCGCTAAGCTGTGGCGGCGTCCTCGCCTCGCTCTGAAGGCGAAACTGCGAGTCGTGTCCAAAATTTCTAGGCCGTTGCACCCACTCCACGGATGAAGACCAGCCAATGCGAGCTTCCACGAATTCCGCCCGCCAACAACTGATGGAGTGGTTGGACAGTCGAGAAGAGGAGAAGTCTGGCCCAGATTAGGCTCAAGCAGCCATCCATGGTGACCCATTAACGCGACGCCCTCAGATAATCCAGTTGCGAGCTCGTCTCACCAAAATATTTTTGCGCGCAACACCAGCACTCAGGCTCCCAAGCGTGCACTGCCATAAACATCTGGTCACGCTTTGCAGAGCCGAGCAGCGGCTCCAGCGCCCGAGCTTCAAAGCGCGCACAGGCCTTCTGCGCACATATATACTTGACGCAAAAAACCGTTAGCGTAGACCTCAGATAGCAAAACTAAACCACGCACTGGGCAGCGGCCCCCTGCACCGGCACACGGCTACAAACACACCGCAGCACCCTGCAGCAGCACCAGCACCCAAGCTCCAAAGCGCACACAGCCATACATCTGGCAGCGGCATCAGCGGCTCCAAAAAGTGCACACAGGCACCTTTTCCCAGGCTGAATAGCTTATTCCTTTTTGGTTAACTGCTACTTGCTAGCCCACCCGACAACCAAACCAAACAACATTACACGAGCATAGACCCCAGATAGCAAAAGCACGCAAAAGATATTTAGGGGCCTAGCACCGCCGGTCGCCTCTCTCTTCTGCCCGGTACCGTGCCAAGAAGAGGAAAGTGGACCCCGGCGCGCAGGCGCGCGCGGTGCCATGTGGCTTCGGCTGAGTTGAACCCGGGGCCAAATTGTGGGCAAAGCTTTTCCAGCAAAAAGGGTCTTGACGGTCACCTACGAGACTGGACTTTGAGGCAGGTTTTTGTGCATGCGACGGCAGCGCGACATCGTCCACCGCTCACTGGAGTCCCTCAACTGGCGCGCCCCGCTCCCATCACGCTCACGTTCGTCGGCCTAGACCAGGGTCGGCGGATTTCTGGACAGCGCCCTGCAGCGGCACCAGCTCCAAAGCATTGGAAGAAAGAATCGCATTAGCTCTGGCTGTCAGGAGGAAACATGTGGAAAGAGTGCGCATATCATCTATGGCAATGGGATTCTTTAGTTCGACTCATGAAATGAGTTGCGAATCCGGCTCTTCAAGAACCAACCTTTTTGATTCAAACCATATTGGTGGGTGCTGCGCGCCGGCATTGTGAGGCTTGAGCGTACTTTTGTACACGTCATACGGTGTACATGACGTGGTCGGGAACATCTGTGTATCTAATTTGGTATACCCGTGGTCGTGAACCCAAAGTTGCTTGAGTATGCTAGAAACTCCACAATGTGCTGTGTTGTATTTTGCATCTCCTGGTTCTCCTCTGCTTTGGCCGCTTTGGCCGACGGCTGTCAGACCTAAGGGCTGTACTGTTTGCGCGCATGCTTTTGTAAGCGTAGACGACTTATACGCGGAACATGCCAAGGTGTAATGCGAACGCTCGAGGAACTCTTGATTCACCCATGGTCATTGACACGTGAGTGTGAACCCAAAGCTGCTTGAAGTTGTGAGGAACTTCGGAGTAGTGCGGTGTTTCGCATCTTTCGCCTTTCCTTTGTTGATGCCCTGTTTGCATGCGATGCCTGTGAAACGTAGGGGCTGAAACGTTTGCGCGCATACTATTGTACGATGTTGGGTGTTGGAAACATTCACTTGTTGCTTAGTTTGATACGGTTGCCTTGCACTGGGATTCTGCTGCGCTGCACGGCTTTTCAGATGCCAAGGGCGGGAAGGTGGTGCAACGGCGCTCTATCTCCACAGCACGCACAGCACCCTGTCTCTACTACGCGCACGGCCAGCTCACGACGCCGGCACCCAGCACCAGCACCAACACCACCACCGACCCCCTCTCTCCACCACGCACACAATTTTTTACTCAAAAGTTCATTCGTATTTGAAGTAAGAACTAGGGAACACACTTTTAGTTTCTGGAGGTATGCCTGAAAGCCTTGGCTCAGACGACCTTCGACAAGCGCTGCCTGGTACTTCCGTCGCAGTCAGTCCCAAGCACGGTGGACGTGGTTGTGGTGGGTGCCGGGTTGCTTGGCATGCTCACGGCGCAACGGTGTACATCAGCTGGCTTCAGTGTGGCAGTGCTGGAGCAGCGTCCGGTGATTGGAGGAATTTGGTCCATGTATGCCAACAGCACCTCACAGGTGAACAGCTCAGAAGGTGGCTACTGCATTAAGGATCTTCTCCAAGAGGAGGTTCGCAGCCCTGTTTGTTTTTGGTTTGGTTCCAAGTTCTTGTATTGTTTTTTCCATTGCACCAGTTTTTTAAGCAATGTATTTGCATTTCCATACAGACGGTGGTAAGTAAGACCTTTGTGCCAACGATCCTTTGCGCACATGATCACTCGTTTCCCCGAACAAGTTGGTAAGTTTTGACATGGTTTCTGTTTATAGCCACCCACGGCATTGCTCAGATTTGCCGCAGTCAGGAGGATGGCAGTCATGACAACCGCGACCACAGCACTGCTGCAGAAGTTCTGAAAGACTTGGCCAAGCTAGGTGACTTCAGCTGGTTGGTGTGGCCAAACTGCGACCAGCGGTGGTTGCACAGAAGTTCTCCCGCCCAGAACCTGAAGAATCACACTGTCCTATACAAGGTTGCCGCAGTTATGTGTTTTGACACACTAACCCACGGATTCATCAGGTCCGTCAATTCATGCTGAACACCCATAAAATGCTGATTTCAGAAAGTGGGGAACCCTGAAACGAAGGTTCACCAACCAGTAGAAAGCGAAACGGTGGCGCTTGGCTGTGGCTCAGGTGATCAATTGAAACAGCACATCTTCACTTCTGTAAAGGTCATGAAGATTCTGGGCGAACAGGGCAGCTACACGGTGCTCTTCGAAAACGCCCCTAGTCATAGTCGTGATACACAAGCCGTTGGAAACCGGTTGTGAAGGAAGGATCCTTGCAAACCACGAAATGGGAATCCTCATGCGCGGAAATCAAGTCGGTGACTATAGAATTCAGAACACTATAGGGTTAGCGGATATCGGTTTGCTTTACAGTTGCAAACTGGGTTTGAAGAAGCCATAGAAAAAACAAAGAGAAAAACGCTACTAGGGGCTCCTGGCCGTACTACTAGGAGCAAGAACGCTACTAGGGGCTCCTGCCATCGCTACTAGGAGCAAGAACGCTACTAGGGGCATCGTCTCTCAAAGCTGATTTGTTTTTTCCCCAGTTTGCCAACGTCTCATCCAGACACCGAGCTTTAGGAATTGGCGCAAGGTGCTGGGATCGTTCAGTGCCGTGGTGTGGTGCTGTGCGTCAACGACCGTGTTGGGTTACCGAGACCACTGGATGTGCCTGGGAAAGAGAGCTTCCAGGGAGTGGTAGCTGATGGCACATCAGATTCACTGGCAGGTGAGGTGTCGGTAACAGGGTGGGGGTTGGCATTGTGAGAGGGACGAGTTTGGACATTGCATGTTTCATCAGGGAAATCAAGAAGCAAACCATTCTCAAATTGGATGAAAGAAACCACTATGTGGAAGCGTGACAGGAGGGGAAGAAGATCCCCCCCCAAAAACCATTCACAGCCTTTGGGTGTATGAACTGCCAGGCGTAGATTGGTGTGGCAAGCGAGTCGTCATTGCTGGAATGGGCGCATTTGCTGTGGAGAATGTGTCCAAGACTTGGGAAACGCGTCGACACAACTTGTGCAACGGCTTGTGAAAACCACAACCACTGTTTGCCCAGTCCACACTGTTTGCTTCTCCGCAACCCTACCAGCCCGAACACTGGGGGCTCCTACTTAAGCTTCGCCTTGCGAAAATAGGTTAAGGGCTTCAAAGGCCACATCTGTGGCAGAGCCTGAAGGCCTGGTTTCCCTCAAGCTTGAAGACTTTGCCCGTTTTGCGGCCACGCTAGCTCTTCACTACATCAGTAGTGGCTACACCCGTTCTACTAGGCTGTGTTCCTGAAGCTATCGGTTTTGCAGTCCCGCTGTTTGCCAGCAAAATAACACCCGCCAACACAGCTTTGAGAAACTCAGAACTCATGCCTGTCACTGTTTGCCACCTCAATCTACATGTCAGTTGCAGTCGGTGGTGCGACAAGTCACTTCACCAGATGTAACCCATGCTTGGACCATGTATTTATATAATTTGTTTTCTCCGGGGGCAAAGCTTCAATGGCTTCACACTGAGGCGTACCGCCCTAGAAAGAGGCGCAGCAGAGGTCGTCGTGGTGGCCCGTCGTCATGGCACCATTTGTCCCAAGGCGAAGTTGCAAAATTGGCGAAACCGTGGTAGGTCTACTAGTAACAATGTTCGCTACTAGGGGCTCCTGGCCGTACTACTAGGAGCAAGAAGCTACTAGTAACAAAACTCGTTGTTGGTAGGTCTCTCAACAAGAACTTGCAGAACTGCGTGGTGAAGTTGTTCGGGCGACAAGTTTAGCACGATGGAAAATATAAGCGCACCACTGTACACTTGTATATGCATCCATTGTGTTTGCACCCATGATATAGCACCAGTTCGCCACCAAACAGAGCACAAAGGTGTGTTGGGCGTCCACTCTCCCCAGTGTCTCAATGATTTTTTGCGACATGCTCTAAGCCCCGTCCTGTTTTAATGCAAACCAAACCGTTGTTTGGCACCAAACTGGTCCCGCCACACCAAACAAATTGTTCACGCACACCGCCCCTCCGTCGACCAGCGCGTGCAGACCACTAAAGCACTGTCCTGCTCTCCCACCAAGTGTTCAGCGAAGCACTAACTACGACACGGCGCAAACACGCAAAAAGAAACCGGCCCAAGTTAGTGTCATTATCAACATTAAATAAACATGTATTACAGAAATAAGACAAAACATCAACTTAGAATACACCGCCAAAACAAAACAAAGGCTAAATTCAAATCAATCAACAACATAAACCCGAGAAACATCATTTTAAAGCACATCAGAAAGAACATGTATTGAAGACAAATATATACAAAAACAACTAGTGCATGCGTTCTGGATCCAGTGTTGTGTTGTTCTTTGCTCTGATTCTTTTGATTCCGGTTTTCAGGGTGAGTTGTTTGCTGCTCTACTGATGTTTGTTGCTTGCCCTCTTCATCGTTTCTAGATGGGTTGTTTCTTTCAAGTATTTGGTTTTGTTCGTTCAGTTCTTTGAAGACCTCAGTTTCTTGGTTGTGGCGAATTCACAACACCAGAGGGTCTAAGCATATTTGTGGATGTTGATTGACCGGTTGGACTGGCAGGTGATCGTCACCTCCCACTAAGCATCTTTGATACTACTAGTAAGGCACCTGTTCCTAGTAGCGATGCACTTGTGTCTAATAGCTTCTTGTTACTACTAGTAAGGCACCTGTTACTACTAGTAAGGCACTTGTTTCTAATAGCTTTTTGTTACTAGGGTTGGAGCATCTCACTTCAAGGGGAAACTTGTTGGTGTCACCATTGAGAAGCTACTTGATGCACAAACCTCAGTAATATGGCGGTTGAAATGAACGCGAAGCTGATTGCACCGACCAAAAAGAAAAGGGACCAAAACCCTGCAAAGCAAAGCAAGCACGGCGGCTGCAGTTTCCACTCGCTGAGCGAAAGTGGCTGCGGTCATGAACCGAATGCACGAAAAGCTGACACCAAGCGACACAAGCGATCAACTAGGCTTACCAACTGAAATCTCCACAAGTAAATCGTCAGCATTGGAATCGACTGCATTCAGGCGGACTGTGTTGCCTTAAACTTGCCAGGGCAATTTCACCGATGCTTCGAGTGAATATGTTATCAGTCATCAACTATGCCCCCTTTCATTTGGTCATGAACTAAGGGGCCCCGCACATGTAAAAAGAAACTCAAGTCGCTCTGCGAACAGCCAGGCCATTGACTATTTGAACTTTGTGAAACCATGGGATGAGAAGTACAAGCATGACACGCAGACCAATGTGAAACAGTTCTTGCGGTGGAAGCAGCTCTACGAAGCATCTGGCTGTCAAGTGCCTGAATGTTGGCCTAAGCAGGCAGGTTTGCGAAGCTCTCTTGCCCGTGGAACCGATTGAAATCAACAGGGATGTGCATTAAGGCCGCCAATGTCAGGGTTCTCTACAGGGGAACCATGCCCCTCAGTTTATACAAACCGACCTTATTGTCAACCATGATCAAAGGTTATTTATCACGGTTGCTGTATCGACCATGAGCTATTCGCCATTTGCGCCGGTCAACGCGCAGCAAACCCCTATGTTTTTAAAGCAAAGATGAAGATCATCTAGTTGTTTTTGCATCGCTACTAGGTTGGAGGCCATCGCTATTAGGGAGGAGGCCATTGGTATTAGGGAGGAGGCCATCACTAGAAGGATTGCTTTGCTTATTTCTGATATTTTTTTGCTCGCATGGAGGTGAAACATGACGGCCACACCATTTCAGTGAGCGACATTTGGTTCATTGCCCATCACATGAAGAAGCTGACCACCAAGACAGGTATCACGGTATCACATTGGCAACAAATGCAGCTGCATATGTCAAGATGGAATGTGCCCCCCAACCCGAGACTATGTTATTTTGCGCTGGGTAAGCACAAAACCAAAACAAAGGCAATTCGAAGTAACGGAGTAGGATCGACGCATTGAGGTACGATCAATCGCATTGAGAAAGAGGGCGTGGTGTTGTCGAGTGGAGACTTCATGGCATGTGACGTGGTGGTGGGCTGTATTGGCTTCGAACGATCCAACACACTGTGCGAATGGCTCACGGGGCGCAAGGAGGTGAAGACCACAAACTATTTGGATCAGCACATGATGTACTTGGCCGACGCAGAGATCGACGAAGGCCGTTGCTTTCGTATTCAAATGTATTCAGTAGTAAGGTGTTTATTTTTTTTAAAGATGTTGATCATTCTTCGGCCTTTTTTAAAGGCTTCGAGTGGTCTACTTCCGTTGCTTCAATGTTTGGGATTGAGATCAGTTGTGGCGTTGAAGATCATGACACTTGACCAGTGGCCATGTAACGGCCATGCTGGTTTTAATGAGATTTTCTACCCAATGTGGCGAGGGTTGACCCTGGCATGTCCACCCAAAAACAAGTTATTTGTTCACCAAGACTCAGCCATGGGACCATAGGTCACTCGACACGTGTAGTTGGGGAAATCCACCTAGTAGCGATGGCCTACTGTGTCCTTGCCATGGTTTCCGAATGCCATCCCTACTATAGGTTGGAGGCCATCACTCTTAGGTTGGAGGCCATCACTCTTAGGT